TACAGACACAACACATGAATAACCTGTGCACTTGATAACCAAATGGACTTGGTGAAAATAAGCCCGATTTCATCTTTTGAAACAAAAATTAATACTGTATAAGACTGGTCTTATTTGGGGGGAAATACAGTATCAGAGACTCATCAAAGATTCAGAGGAGTAACATGCTATCATCAAAATAAATTTTAAAAATGTGTTTACACTTACAGAAGTCATAAACTGGTGAACACTAAAGACAAAAAGAAGGTCTTAAAAAGCAGTTAGACAAAAGAAATTATTGTATCTGCAAAGGAATAACAGCTGACTTTTCAACAGGACTTATTAAAGTATTTTTAGGATAGTTAAAACTGAAAGTAAGTAAGTACTGCCCACTAAACCTTTCTAAACAAACTTAAAGGATGTAGTTGGAGCCTAAAGAAAGTGGTTGTTGCTGGGAAGTCAGAGTTGTGAAAAGGACTGATGAAACAAGACACTGGCAAATACATAGGTATATCTACCTCTTTAGTGAAGAAAACAATTTTAGCAATATTGAATTGAGAAAAATTAAGATAATAACTGTGGCATATAAATCTTGAAGAAGAAAACGTAACTTAAAATACTCTATTACTTTTATTATTCAGGAGGATATTTAAAAGTCAACTTTAAAATTAGATATGTGAAACAATATTGAGGCATTCTATTATTTACACTTAAGGAAAATACAAACCATGAAGGAGAAGAGAGTTGATGTAGTTTATTTAGAAATATAAGAGACAAAAAAGGAGAAAAAAATGAAATGCACAAAAGGCAGAGCAAATAGCACAAAATAAGAGAAAAATAAAGGCAAATCTATTAGTATATGCAAACTAATTGGACTCGGTGATGCATTTAAAAGACAAATATTAGATTTGAAAAAGAAAATATCTAAAAATTGAAGATGCAGAAATGTTTAAAGTGAAAGTTTGTTCCTAAATATACCAAGCAAATATTCTCCCTTGGAAAAATAAAACCAAAAAAAAACTGGTATGCACCAAAAGTGACTTTAAAGTAAAATCAATACTGGAGAAAAAGAGGATGAGGATCATTATTTGATAACAAAAAGCTGATCTATACATAAGATGATATAGTACTTATATGGTCCTTATAACCTCAAAGGTATTAAGGAAAATTCAACAGAGATATAAAGATAAAGAGATAATCCTACCATTATAATGAGAGATATTAATATACATGTTTAAGTAACAGTTCAAGTGAAAAAATAATTTCAACAATATAACATGTTTGACCCAATAACCATGTGTGGAATATGGCATATTTTCAACAATAGCAGAGAATGTTAAATACACATTTCTTAGCAATCATACATAAAACTTTTAAAATTTTGACTGTATAACTTGACATCAATCTCAATAATTATCAAAGGATTAATGGAAGATATACCACATTCTTTGTTCCTAAACCCAATATCACCATGTGTACAGTATCCTTATAAAAAGACCAAAATACAGAGACATAGATGCCCAGAGAGAATAAATCCTTGTAAGACGGAAGCAGAGACTAGACTAATTATCTACAGACCAAGGGACACCAAAGATTATCAGCAAATACCCGAAGCTAGGAGAGAAGCATGGAACAGCTTCCCCTTCAGAGCTACTAGAATGAACTATAGTAACTCCCTTATCACCTCAATTTTTAGATTTCTAGCTCCCAAAATTAGGAAAACATAAATTTCTTTTAAACCACCCAGTTTGTGGTACTTTGTTATAGCAGCCCCAGGGAACAAATATGTTCCATATGCTTGAGAATTAAACATAATTCTAAATAATTTGTAAGTCAAAAAGATTGAAGTCAAAAAAATCTTGAACTAAATGGTAATGAAAATATAACATCTGAACTAAGAGGTGGAAATATAACAGTAGACGTTGAAAGTCTTACATTTATAGATCAGAAAGGAGAAGATAAAAATAAATTAGTTAAGTATCCAAAATAATAAGTTAGAAGAAGGACTACAAAATAAACCTGAAGAAATTAGAAAGACATAACATAAATGGAAGCAAAGATTGACAATATTAAAGACAAAAATGCAATGGAGAGCACTGGATAGATTTCAAGAATGTAACATATTGATTATTTGAAAAAGAAGGTTCAGAAGAATACATGGAATATTCCACTTACATACATATTAGAAACAAGTTTTTAAAAATGTTTAAAGAGACAGATGTACAGTAAAATGTTCCAGATGGTAATTACCTCTGAGCCAGGAGGGAATGAAGAAAATAAAGCTGGAGGGCATTGTGGGGTAGAGAAGGAAAGAAGGGGATATTTGAAATATTTTATATTTCATGTTTTCATATTTCATTGCCCTTCTAAAGTTATTCTTTTGTAGCTTTCCTATTCATATCTTCTGCTCTTTTTTTTCCATTTTTCAAAACAAGGTTATTGCTGACATGGAGATACAGGTTCACAAGTTGAAGGAGGAGCTCATTAATGTGAACTCCCAGAGGAAAGAGCAGCTGGTAGAGCTTGGTCTCCTTCGAGAAGAAGAAAAGCAAAGGGCTGCAAGGGACCATGAGGCTGCTGTCAACAAACTGAAGACTGATTCAGAAAAGATGAAAAGAGAGCTGAAAAAGATGCACGCTGCTGAAACAGAGATGACTCTGCAAAAGGTGAGATAGCTCATTGGAATTTTTGATATCATTGCAATTCATGTTTAAAATCTACTCCCCTCATTTTTAATCTCTAAAAGGTAGTAGACATGGAATTGTTCTTCACATTTATAAACTCTTTAAATTAGCAGTATGTTATCTTGCTTTGTATATCAGCACCACTAAAATAATCTAGGGAATTTCTCACTTTTTTCTGGACTTCGTGGAAGAGATTATATGGAAAATGCCATTCCATAGTAACTTAATACACATTGTGATGTTATATTATTAGAAATATTTGGGAATAATTTTTCCTAGGTTTAAACTACATTCCAGATCTTTTCTTTTTTTTTTGTATTAAATTCTTTTATTGGTACATTGTAGCTATACAACACAATTACATTTCTCATTGGGAATTTTACCTTTACATAATGCATCTTGGTTCTTATTTTTTTCTCCATTCCTAGCCCTCCCTTCATGCCCTCCACCCTTCCCTATTTACAAAGACTTTATTTCCATTTTTTCCATTTCTCATCATTTTTCCTTTCCCT